GTTAAGATGAACAACATCGGTCTACTCCTTCTGGTACCTCCCCCACAAAAGTCGAAATGTTCAAAAAATATATTCTTTGCACAGAAAGAGAAAGGATAATCCGAATTTTCTCCAACTTTGCAAATCCTAATATTGCATCAGTGCTAGGGCAGGTGTGGAAATGGACAATATCGGTCCACTCCATCAAGTACCTCCCCCACAAATGGTCAAATTTTGAATAAATTCAACTCTCATAAAATGTTATGTAAGAGTCCGACTGTCTTCAAATTTCACACATCCTATTTATATAACCCCATGTCTTTGTTAAGATGAACAATATCGGCCCACTCCTTCTGGTACCTCCCCCACAAAAGGTCGAAATTTTCAAAAAAAAAGAAAAAAAAAAAAATTTTTTTTGCACAGAAAGAGAAAAGCTAATCCGAATTTGCTCCGACTTTGCGAATCCTAATATTTGCGTCAGTGCTAGGACAGGTGTGAAAATGGACAATATCGGTCCACTCCATCAAGTACCTCCCCCACAAAATATTGAAATTTTGAGTACCCATGAAGCTCATAAATCGCCAAATTAACATCCGATTCCATTTAGACTTTGCACATCTGTCGAAATATTTATATCATATTTTGGGTCCGATAGGAAATGGGCAATATTGGCCCATTCCTTCGGGATCTGCTCCATAGAGGGTCAAACGTTTGAATAACCTTAACACTAGTCAAAATATTTTAGATAATCGAACATAGGCTGAGGGTATATCTCTGGCGGCAATACTGATACTTTTTAACTTGTTTAAAAAATTATTGGTTAGTGTGAAATTTGAAGACAATCGGACTCTCTTACATCATATTTTATAAGAGTTGTAATTATTCAAAATGTTGACCCTTTGTGGTTGAGGTACCTGATGGAGTGGACCGATATTGTCCATTTTGCACCTGACTGACATGAACTGACGCAAATATTAGGATTTGCAAAGTTGGAGCAAAATCGGATTATCGTTTTGTTTTCTATGTAGAAATATTTTTTTTTTGAAAATGTCTACCTTTTGTGGGGGAGGTACCAGGAGGAGTGGACCTATATTGCCCATCTCCGAACTCCATCTATGTTCGATAATAATAATACGATGTACCAAGTTTAAATTAAATCGGATACTCCCTTCGAGAGTTATCGTGCGCACATGCCAGACGGACATTGCTAGATCGACTCTAAATGTCCTAAAACGCATTTGGACCTAGGGTCTAAAACCTAGTTAAACGTTATTTCGAGGCACTTTTTGCCGTATGTGGCTGAGGGTATAAACACATTTTTAATATAATATTATTAAAAATACAACAATTACAATAGTCCTTATTGACAAGTGACCGATAGTCCTTACTAAAATATCTAAATTACGACGACCTTAAAAAAATTAAAAACCTACTATTAAGAACCAGAAAGACCTTCAGACCTGGTAGTATTTTAAAATCAGCGATTAGACCAGATAGCTTTTGAGGAGAAATTGTTTAAAAGTCCACGATTAAAGACGTGATAGTTCCCCAGACATGATAGTCCTTAAAAAATCACAATAAAAGAACCGATTGTCCCATGAAAATCCACGATTAATAGTCTGATAGTCCTTCAAAGAAATTTTTATAGGCCTTACAATTTTATTTTTAAAATCAATTATTGAATTTAATAATTCCTTGAAAAAGGGAAATTATACCTTTTTATTTCTATTATTTAGTTGTTCCTTCATTAATATTTTTTTTAAATCCACCAGCGTTGTTTATGCTCTGGTAATTCTATAAAAAACAGGCTAAGGTTTGATAGCATTTCAAAAATCTCCATGAATATTGTCTATAGCCTGGCATTGCTCTAGAAAATCGAAGCTTATAGTCTGTCAGTCATCCAAATTTTGTTAAAAAAAAGTTCTGATAATCGTTTAAAAAAATTCATTGAAAATCCTGGAAGATTATGAAAAAAATCTTCAAAATTCTAAGACCTATAGACATTGAGAGGAATTGACACTTTTGAAATTTTTGAATTCTAGCCCTTAAAAATGTTAAGGAATCTTAAGATGTAGGCCTAATTATACTTAAAATAATTATAAAATATTAAATAATTATTTAAATATAAAAAATAATAAAATCCATATCAAAACATTCAACAGATATTTTAGACAAGTTTCGTAAAATTTAAAAGTTATGTGTCTCTAAAATATTAGATGTAGGTATTAAGGTTTGAATCAATTTCCATTTGTTTTTTACTGTCCGAATTGTTTTACAACGTGGAGGCAGATTTTGTGAATGTTGCAAACCTCTTTACATACGAATGTAATATCCTATTTATTCCCTAAATGCCGTAACGTATGATGAATGTTACTTATGTCCCCTAATCACTCATACGCCCTTTAGGCAATTTTTCATAACATTTATATAAAATACGTTGCAATTGCGATTTGAAAATATTTTCGAGACACCGTAAAGTTTTGAAATACCGGGTTTTGCAAATCATAGGTCTGGTGTGAAAATAGATTGTATGGTCCACTCCTTCTGGTACCTCCCCTACAAAGGGTCAACATTTGAAAATCCATGAAGCTCATAAAACTCGAAATTAACATCCGATTCCATCCCGACTTGGTACATCTCACTATTTGCATCAACACAAAATCTGTTATAAATATGTTAGAGATCGGAACATTTTTTGTGTTACCTCTCCCACAAAGGGTCAAAGTTTTGAATAACCAAACGATTATAAAATCCGATAAGCATTTGGTTGTCTTCATATTTCAACACATCCTGTTATTTCTACTAACACACGATCTGATGGGAGTTTGGGATATATCGGCCCCCTCCTACCCACAAAGGGTCAGAAATTTGAATAACCATGAAGCTCATAAAATCCATGAAGACTTGGTACATTTCTGTATACCATCATCACATAAGATCTGTTATGAATATGGTAGAGATCGGACCATTTCTCTGGTCCTCCCGCCACATAGAGTTCAGACTTTAAAAAACAAAACGCACAAAAAAAGCAAAATAAGCATCCATTCTTCTCAAATTTCACACATACAAATATTTTCGCTTGTACAAGATCTGTTTTGAAGATGATATGTATCTGCGAACCCCTCAAAGGGTCACAATTTGCAATGCATATATCTGTCATAACTTGCGAAAAAGTCAGCTATTCTTTACAGGATGAGATAAAAAAAAACTGCAACAAAGTCAAACGCCATGATACATTTTTTTTAAATTTTATTGAAGGAAAGCAAAAAAAAAAATGTCGGAAATAGCATCAAATTTTAGAATAAGATTAGATGTGTTCGAATTGGTCACCTTTGGCACGAATTATGGCCTTCAAACGGCCATGAAAACCGTCACTGCCCGATGTTGCTCTGCGTTATTTTGGCCTATTTCCGAAAAGCGCGCTTCTCAAGGTGATCGACACTTTGGTATTTATTAGTGCCAACTTTGCTTCCCAAAATACTCCAGACACAATAGTCCCAACGGATTGGTATAGGGAGATTTTTATGGCCATTGGCGCTGGAAATGAAGCGAGGAACCTCATTTGTAACACCATTCTTGGGTGGCGCGTGCAGAGTGCGATGGTGCTGAGTCCTGTTGGAAGGTCCAAGGTCTTGCGGCCAAAATGTTTGCGTGCCCGAGACTTTAATACAACCCTCCAGAATATTTTCGCGATAATATTTGCATTATTCTGATGCCACTGTCCATTAATATGAGCGGAGCGACAATCGGCTGTTACAGCGCGCCCACACCATCACATTGGCACCACACCATCACATTGAGTTCTGGTTGCCAACTGAAGGTTGCACATTTTTCAGCTGACCCCTTTGGTAAGTAAACACGATTATTTGTTTGTTTACAAACTGCTAGACAAC